AAGAGCATTTAAATGTTTACAATGATAGCAGAAGACTTGATTTATCCAGAAGCTTCACTCACATCAGTGGAGCTTCCTTCACCAGGGAACAACAGCTAGGGAACCATTCACAGACTTAAAGAAAGTAATGCTCCTAGGTAACAATACATAGATTGCTGTAATATAGTATAAAACATCTATATACTGAGAGAGAGAATGGAAAACATTTGTTTTAAAATATGTTAAAAGATGGGATTTTTTTGGTTCTATTGCAAAATCAATAGCTGGTGTCTTTACTTTCAATTGTAAAAATAAACAAAGAGGAAGAACAAAAATGTCTCTGCCAAATATACAAAATGCTCATTTAGCCTGTTTTCCTTTTTATCTAGGTATACTTTTTTTCACTGATGTTCCAAAAAGATTTAAGTACCAATTAGTGTAATTTTTGCCTCACATCCCATAAACTGGGAAAGGAATTTCCCTCATTAACTACCAAAGCACAAGATAATATAGAGTAAGAGTAAATTCTGTACTTCAGCCAACTGCAAATTCTTTTAAACAACACAGAAGTCTCTGCCTATAGTAGCATTTGTAAGTCTACAGTGCACACCAGTGGAATATAGTAGTACATGCATTTTTCCACTATTTTCGGTATAATGTAAAATTGTTTTGTAAATATTCCATCTCATTTAACTATTAAATGACCAGAAAACACAACCTTCAGGATTTATAAAGATGGATAAAAAATTATGAGGAAGATTAGTAATGACTATAAAAAAAGAATGTTTTTTGTACATAAGATAAAATGATCATTCTAAAATCTAAAACTTCAACAGCCTTGCTCACTCCAAACACACTTCTGTGTTTACAAAAATCAGAGCAACACACCAAAGATTTGCTTTGTTTTCCAGAGTGCAAAGACCTAACTAATCAAATTCAGACATACTTTTTGTGTTTCTCAGACTGATGGTTAATTGATCTACAAACTAAACTGTATCTGAAAAAATTGGATACCCCATTCCAGGGGACATTCAGCAAGTAAAGTTATGGACGTAAAAATTCTCATTTTCTTCAGAGAACTTAGACTCCTACTCTTTTCAACAAAGTTTACTTTAAACCCAAGTATATATAATGTCAATACCCTTTATTTACTTAATAGGCTTACAAACAACTTTTGCCTTTCTGTGGATACTCATGTAAATACAACAATAAGTACAATTTTATATTGAGTGCTTTCCTATTTTAAAAATAACAAAGTATTTTACAACTTTTAATTCTCAGAACAAAATTCTTTGAACAAAAAAGGAAATTATCAGTTATGACGCCAAATGCAAATTCTGTTGTATCTGTTAAAATGGTCTAATTTATGACCCCAAATAGGGCAAGATCAATGCTAGTGTCACACAAAGCTACCTATAATGCTCATGGTTACTATGATCATAAATTTTCACTTTACTGCTTTTTTTAGTCAATACTTTGAAAACTCATTTACAACTTCCAAATTGATGATGAATGCATAATTTTTTAAACTGATGATCAGCAAGATCACCAAGGCTTTCCATATTTAGTTTATTCTGAGGTGAGCAAATACTTTCAATGAAAGTAATTCAAGAAAGTGACTAGTTATTGGGAGCACTAATAATCAAGTCTTGGCAGCTGTGAAGCTTCTGACATTCCCCACAATCTCTCCAACTTCCAAAAGGTTAGCAGAGCTATCCATTCCTAAAAGTGGTTTGATTTGCAGTAGCACTGTCACTTGCAGACCAAGCACTTTTTTCACATTCACAGTGGGACTCTTAGGCAATTTACCAAAGGAAATTACAGATTAATTTAGTCAAGGACATGAAAATAATCTAGATATACTGACTGATCTGCTATTAATCTAGAATTTCATTTGTGGTTTAATATTGACAATATAAGTTGGAATCAGACTCCATGCTTAGCCTAGTAGATGTCTGCACTTTCCTTTATTTCACTTTCAAATATTTCACTGTCAAAAATCTTGTCTGTCGTTCCAGCATCCACTTCTCAACAGTAATATATAGTGAGTAATATTCACATCCCTGTTGTCAACACACAAGGTTTGGTTTATTTCAGTAGAGGGAAAGTTTCCACTTACAGAAACCCCCCTCTACTGATACAAATAATTTCATTTGCATTAGTCAGACTCATCCAGACCTGTGTTTTTCTGTAGTTTAAAAATGAGATTTATGTTATAAATATGAGAAGATGAACACAATGCTCAAAATATCACCTCCTGTTAGCAATTAAAGTAATTGAGCACGTTCCCAAGAAAAAAGCAGCAACACATATATGCAAGCATTCACATACATAAATATTGTTATCTATCTCCAACAAATTCTCAGAAAATTTTTTACTTCCTGTTGTTCTATTCCTGTTGACAGCACCATAAAGTATTTCATAAAGATTACATTTCTTAAGCAAAAACAATTAACTAAATCTGGACCTCCTCTGTTTTGCACAAGTATAACAAGCTAAAATCCTACTTAATGAGCATGCAGAAAATAAAGAAGTAAAATCTAAAGAAACTCAAATATGAAAGATAGATGCTGGTTTGTTGCTGTGCTGCATACGCATCACCTATTAACTAGAACTTGAGACTTAATAGACTGCTTGCAATTCTTTCCAGAACATGAAAGAAAACTAATTAAATTCCCTCCATTATTCCAAATCTGAGATGTTAAATTCATAGGACATTTTTAATTCACTACCTATATTTAGTTATATAGACATGCACTTTGAGTTTTGTTGGAACAAAGAGGTCCTCTATCCATTGTCCTGAAAGCTAAAACCTGTAAACTGCAACACAAATATTTCTTATTCTTCTAGTCATGAATGCAGACTGAAAAGAACACGTGTTTCCTAACACCAATCCAACACAACCAGGCAATGTTCTTAAATTACTCCTTCAAGGCCGATCTTTGTAAAAGTAGATTGCTTTCTGGCATCAGAACTCCACCATGTGTGTCCTGCTGAGCTAAATGAGTCTCCTGATACACCTACCTGTTCTCCTGAGTATCAGGACAAACCTCGGTTGTACTCCAAGGCCTGACAGCTTTGGTTGACTCCTTTGTTTACCTATCAGAGTTGCCTCCCATGGGACCCTTCCCAGCAGTTCCCTGACTAAGACAATATCCTGCTCTCCTTAGATTCAGGGTTTGTACTTGGCTGCTTGTCTTTCTTCTTTCAGGATAACCAACACAGCTATTTCAAAATTACCACAGATGAGGAAATTATTCATCATCACATCCCCAGCTAGTTTCCTTCATATTCATCAGCAGCAGATCCAGCTATTCACCACCACTTGTTGGCCCTTTGACTACCTTCAGCAAGAATTTATTCCTGAAACCACACTGAAATATCTTTGATTGCAGCTGCTATTCTACCTCTCTAGCAGCTGTAGTCACCCACAAGAACTGGGGTTTACAACTCTGAGATCTGAGTTCTTTAAATGCTTTTGTTTGATTCCTCATCAGGTGGTCTGTAACAAACTCCTACCACAATGACACCTTTACTGTCCTCTCCTCTGATCCTAGAGTCACAAGTCTGATTATCCTCCATCCTTCTGGGGACCTAAAAAGACCTGAGCTGCTTATGGGTCTGAGGGCAACTTCCATGCTCCCAGCCCTTCCTTGCCAGTATTTATGGAAGTCCCTCACATTACTCCAGTTGCATGGACTCGGCACAGTATTTGAGTTGTTCCAACAATATTGTAGTTCTGTAACCACATACAGCTCTAATTCTCTCTGCTTGTTTCCTAGGATGTGTGCATTTCTTTACCAACATTTAAGATGGGTGTCGCTTCACATTGTTTTATCACTCCTGAAGTCTTTCTTCTTCCTATCAACCTGTGGCCTGAGCTTTCCAGTCAACCACCTGTTCTTCATTTCACTGTGGTCTGAAATCTCTCATTTCCTAGTTGAAATTCTCTTTCCTAGTTGAAAGCTCTCCTCGTTACGTTACCCAGCTGGTAGGATCAAGGAGACCAGACCTGGGTCCCCATGACCTCAACCCCAGAGCTTCGTGATCATTCCCAATACACCCCTAGCTGCTGCCCATGGGGATGAGTAGCAGTGTAGCAGTCTAAGGACTGGACAGACCTCAGCAATCTCTCTGTAATGTTCTGGATCCTAGCCCACAGCAAGCCTCACAACCCTCCAAAAAGCATGTGGGGAACAAGAGGTTTCTTTCCCCACAGGAGCAAGCCTCTTACTACCGCCACCCACTACTTCCTCCGGATGTTGATGCATGGCTTGTGTTAAAGCTGGTTCTGATGCTTCACAAGTCATGGCTTTCTTTTCCTACTTCACCACCAGAACATTTTGAACTGCAGATCTGGAAAAAGAGCCATCCTCCAGCTGCTGGAGAACATATCTTTCCAGTGCTCCTACTGTGGGACTCTATTCACTGTGAAACTCAGCCTCCGGCTGCCTCTCCCATGTGGTTCAGACTTCCTTATCTCTGAGTCTCTGTGAAGACCCTGTTAATCTCTTTGCCTTCTCAGATCTTGCACAGCCTTACTTCCTTGTCCAGGCCAATGGGGGCAACACATTTTTCCATCCAGTTTCTACACCTCTACTGTTCTATTGTTCCAGCCTCACAGGAAGGGTGGCAGGGCTTTCCTGAACATCCCCTTACCCCACATGGGCCCTTTCTCTCTGAACACAAGCCCTGCTGGACCCTGACCACAGACTGCTGTACATCAGGACCACCAGCCCCACCACACATGGGGATGGGGCATCAGAACCTGTCTCCTGGAAGCCAGTGGAGCCATCCCAGTGCCACTTCCACAGCTCCCGAGCACCAGTGCTGCCATGGCAGCATCCACACACCCCCATCAGGTCCCTTCCATCTGGGTACACAGAATAACAATTGGTAAATGGCAGATTTATCACATTCATAAACCACGGACACAATTTTACTCTCAGTTACAACACAGGAAATCAGAAGTCTAAATTTTCTTTCTTACTCCATGTGATAACAATGTACTGCTAACATACCTGTTTCAGACTTTCCAGCTTGATTTGTCTCAGTTCTTCATATTTCCATTTCCAAAGAAATAATTCATTTTCCATCTTTTCCATTTCTCTCTCCAGAAATACATTCATTCTAGAAAAGCATTTTAAAATTTATCATTGCACAATTTTGAAGCTGACAGAAGAAAAATTACTTTGAATTTCCTTCTCATAGTTTGAGTTATATTCTGCTGCCTTTGTCAATGGTATATTTTGATTTTCTAAAAACCTATATTATCATTGCATGATTATTCCAAAAGATTCACCAAAAATAATAGCTAAAGAGAAAACAGAAATCCAGTAGTACAGAATTAAAAATTTAAATGAAATAAATTTTTGGGATAAACTGAAGAAAATTTGACTTCAGTTACTGGTTCAGGCTACCAAATTTATCACAGTTCTTCACAATTAGTGAAGATCCTCAAAGAAAAGGTATTACATCACTTGTATTTAGTATAAACAGAAGATAAAACACATGTATACAGGGGGAAATATACACTATAAAGACTAGAAACCAAAGATGATTTTTGTTAAATGTTAAAAAACATTATTAAAATATGCATATTTCACATTTCAAAAAATTGCTCCTGGAAGAAAATGCTAGAAGAATTTCAGGAAAATGTATTATTTAGTGCAGAAGTACTATGCCTATACAATGACAAAAATATGATATAGTTGAAAAGAAAATTCTAATACTGGCAATTAAAGAAATTGTTGTGTGCCACAGTAGTTATTTTCTATTATATTGGAGGCTAATGGAATTTTTCAACCTTTTTAACAAAGATATTATTGCTGGGCTTACTAGAACTATATTTTAAAAATTTCATTTAAATAGTCACCTATTAAAACAAAGTGTACTGATGGAATTTGCCTGGGGCATTTCTTTGCTTGCACAGAGCTAGCAAAAGTTGCCACCGACTGGACCGACTCAGATCCTGGAAGCAAGCTACATTAACGAATCAATCCATTATAGTGAAATATCTTCTCTCTTCTTTTGTACCTAAATCTGATGCTCTTGAATCAGGGATCTCCTTTTTCTGCCTAGATTTAGCATATTGCACAGCTTATATTAGCAAACACCTAAAACTCCCATAACATTATATTTATTTATAATTATATTTTATTATATTTATTTATAAAATAAATACTATTATTCACAGAGCAAAGTAGAGCAAGATGTACTTCATGCATTTCAACTCAACAGTTTTTCTTTCAAAGTAGTGGGCTATTTCATTGGAATGGTATCATGACCTCATTGGGGAACTAAGATAATTATTAGTGGGACATTTAATACAGTAAAAAGTGAAAGCATGAAAGATGACTTTCTAATACTTTGAATAATAGCCTATTGACCTTACTGAATGCAGTGAGAGTCCTCAGAAATGGTCTAATCTGAAAAGTAAAAGAGGACTGTCCAGTAGGTTTTGTTTATTTAGAAGACACTAGCTTTGTTTTTTTGTTACAGTACTTGAGACCAGCTCCCTCCAATACCACTAATTGAAAGAAATTATTCTGATTACATAAAGTTTACTATTTAAGCAAAGAAAACAAAGAATGGAAGAAAGAATATAGCAGACATCAGAAGCAGCTTACTACTAGGTAAAATAATCAGGTTTAGAGAATTTTTCATGGATCTTACAATGACACATTTTAATTTATTATCTAGTTAAATCACAGAATTACACAGAATGGTTGAAATTGAGAGAGACCCTGAGGAGGTCATCTGGTGCAAACCGCATGTTCAAGCAAGGTGGCCTAGAACTGATTGCTCAGGACCATGTCCAGATGGCTTTTGAATGTCTCCAAGGATAGAGACTCAGAAACTTTTCTGGGAAACTGGTGCCAGTGTTCAGTTCTCCTCACAAGAAAAAAAAGGATTTCTTGTTGTTCAGGCAGAGCTTTTTGTATCCATGGTCTATGTTACCCAGCCAGTGTTATGCAGTTCCTCTTTGGTATTATCAACTAGCAGTGAGCTAATCTGTGGCCTTATGGTTTTAGAGAAAATAGACACTTTTAAGTTCAAAACAGAACAAATTACGATCTTAAAACTAGAAGATATTTAGATGAGAAAACTGATCCAAAAGATTACAAAAGATAGCTATTTTAAGCAAATGATTATGCAAAATGCTGAGCCACTCACAAGGTTTGTAATTTCCATTCATATTAATAGGACCTCAAATGTGTAATTGATATGAGCCATCAGTACCAAGTAGAGGATGTTGGTGTGTAATTTTATCAGGCAAACCCAAGCCTGATATTTTTTGAATGTCAAAACATAAATTTTCATTTCTTTACTTTTATTGTTTTTTAGACATTCTTTCTTTTTGTTCTTTGCAAAGCCTGGTCTGTGTGCATAAGGCTGTGTCAACATCACTGATGATAGCTCTAAGCAGAATGCAATAAGCAGAATTTCTCTCAGAGTGAAGAAGTAAAACATCTTATGGAAAGATTAGTTAGGAAACCAAGAAGGTTACTAGTTAGGTAACTGTTAGGTAACTTAGTCAGGGGAAAGTTCAAACACTGGATTTGCATAAGCTAAGTTGACTCTAGAAAAAATGCAGTCAAGAGTTCAGAGTGCTGCATGTAAACCAGGAAACTGCTGAGAAGTCTTCCTCTGCATGAGTAAGATCATACTGACTGCTAAAGTAACCTTTGGCCTTGGGGTTCAAGCTGTCTATGATCTGTTTGGTTTTGATGCAGTACAGCTGTGCGTCCTTGGCTCGAGTTCACTGTGAAAATTGCTAAGTTGTGAGAAAGAAGCTGTGAGAAAGTACTTAAGCTACAGCCACAGAAGATAAGGGGAGTAAAAATGCAAACAGGGGTGAGATTGTTCAGATAGTCATTACTAGCAACTCCAGAATACACGAGTAAAAATACTGACATGAGCAAGAATAAAAGGGATAAAATTTGAAATCTGAAGTTGGAAATTCAGCAAAATCAGCCAATTCTACTAAGTGGTGGAGACCAACCCTTTCTGAGATAGCAGGTGACAGCCTGCCCAACAAAGATTCATCAGCTGTCTCAAGGGACTGGTGACAATGATAATACTTATCCTAGAAACATTATTCCTAACTATTTACAGTCTGCATTGCCAAATATAGTTGCTTCATACTTATAAGTTGTCTATATTCTGCTTATATAACATCTCTGCACGTAGGAAATGCTGCCCTCCCGGAGAGGAAGTTGTTACACCAACCCCAGCTGTTGTGTGGAAATCACTGCTCTGCAAGCATTTTTGATGCCTGAGGTTTGCATTGTCACATGTTGCATGTTATAGATGTGCCCCAATTCTTACCATCTGCCAGTAAATTTATTGCCTTATACCACAGTCAGTATATATCTAGGCATAAATCGAAAAATCTGTCTCTCTGAAGTACAGCTAAATATTGGTTAGAGAGGCATGTGAACAAACAGACAAACCAAAACCTATTAAAGTTTTGCCTGAGAAGTGACTAAAAGTGAGTTGAAAAATTATCCAATTTCTAAAAGAAAATAATTATATATGTATGTATACTGTGATTGTTAATGAAGTACCTAGGCCCCTTAATATTTCAACCCCAGGAAAATAGGTGAGGTGTCAGTATCCTAATTCACATATATATTTGCTGCCACAGAAAAAGTAAATACTTTTTAAGGAGAGAGAGCATGGACATTTTCTGTTATATGATTCAACTAAAGAATTATTGTGTGCTTTCTACAACTATCTAATTCATATAACAAAACACATTAAATATTAGTTAGGAATTGAAAGGATTTTTTACTTCAGACTTGTACTATCTACATGACAATTATGAAATAAACTGACAGACAGGAAATGTGAAATAAACTGACAGGAAGGAAATTCTTCAACACAGTTTACCATTACAGACTCTCTGAACTGAAAGTGTTGACTATATTTGCAATATACAGGGAATTTTATTCCTTGAAATTTCCTAATTAACTTCAACTGACTTTGAAATTACCATCACCTGTGATTACAGCCTGAAGTCTGCTACCACGTCATCATACATCACATGCTGCATATTTTCTTGAAAGGCCTTTTTGGTGACATTCAATCTTTGTCAGTATTGACCATTTATACAACATAAAACTTTTAGGCCACCAAAATGTACCAAAATAATTTATGTGAGGCAAATTTGATATGCTACATAAGTGTACAATAAATGTGTTTATCCCTCTTTGTTACTTTTTAACACAGAATTCGCTACAAGTGGAGAGGTTAAGGTTTTGCATTTTGCATCTGATTCAAATATTTTGAATTCAAAAACAGCCTTTGTCGTTCTGCATTTGGACTCTTTCAAAGGTCTGCCAGTAGAGTATATGAAAATTTGTTATTATGCACAAAGCACTTCAATAACTGGGTATAACATACATTAGATATCACTGTATCTATACCAAATTGCTATTAAATACATATTTGTATGGAATACCTCTTATTTAAATGACAAACAGGCCAAAGAAAACAATAAACACACTATGCTGAATTGTTTCTCTAAATTCTTATTAAAGTCTTGCAAATAACTATGAATAAAGCTTAAAACATATGAGCTATAAATGCAAACATCATATCTGTTTTAGTAACTGTCTTCAACCCCTCTATAAGAATTCCACAAATAGGATATATTTTGCACTTACTCTCTTTCCTTCTGTAAGATTTTTCTCATCTCAGCCAAATGCAAATTTAAGACTGATACATGTATTAAATCATTCTCTCTTGTCTTAGCTGTAGTGTCCAAACTTATTTTAGACTCCTCCAAATAGATGCTGGGAAGTCCACTGGGGAAGAAATCAGGAGGCTTTGGACTGAATTTTTTATTGTCATTGTTTTGGTCTTTCTTTACATCCTGAGAAAAAAAAAAAAAAGACACCTGAGAAAAACATAAATGAAGGAAAAAGTCTAACCTAGTTCCATAGACAGACCTACCAAGGCTCCTCTAGACATTTAAGGAACATAGGAGAAAAAAAGGAAATAGGTAAAATCTTGGACAGTTGGACTGTATACGGCTAGAAGGTGCAGAAAATGTCAGTATATTATATATACTATATATAATATATATAATGAACAATTGTCATTTTATGATATCTAACAGCTTTTGTTATGACACGCTTCATATACAAAATATTTCCAATGTGTCTTTACTAAGGAAATATATTCAATTTCTTTTTTTTGGCTATAACTCTGGTGAAAACAGAATCCTGGAACTAATAAAACCAGCAGTGCAATTTATCCATACAAATAATGTATTGTTATTAACTACATTATGGACTCATAAACTTTTTATGTAAAGTGTGTTGAAGCAGGCTTATACAAGTTTTTCATAAGGAACAAAGTATATAGATATCTATTTTGAAGATAAATGTTTTGCATGCAAAACATAAGAAAACTAGCATCAAAATAGGAAAAAAAATTAAAAACAAAGTACACATTTTTGAGAAAGACTGAATGTCTCTTATAAAAAAGTTTCCCTTAGAAAGGTATTTGCTTTACCATATCTGAGGAATTTTGTTTAAAAGATAATCTCATTTTAGCAGCTTACTGATAATCATCTCTCACATCAACCTGTTCTTTTGAGTTTTTAGAATACCCAAAATTTACATCAGAAAATACTAGAAACTGAAAAGATAAGTATGTTTCTTATTCACATATAAAGTTTCAGTTTTCAAGTGGAAAATATCTTATGCTAAGGAGAAATAGTTAAAATATATTTTGTGGTATTTCCTTCCAATGGTACATTTGTCTGCCTGAAAATATAAAAGGCATGGTTTTTTTGGCAAAATTTATTCTTGCTACTAATATTACTTTTTTTTTCTCCCAGATTTCATAGGAATATAGTATCATTAATATTAAGAGCATAATACATTCAGACCTAAGATCTTGGCAATTTCCCTTGAATTGAAGTAAAAATTTTCCTACTTTCAACAATGCAGGGGAAAACATTTTCCTGCAATGTGTGAAAAAAATTACCTGTATCTACAATGATTGCCACCTATCAAAAAACAAGTAAGGTTTTTACATGGTGCTGTCTATGGAGACTACACAGTGCATTCCAAGGCACAGATTTAAAGTTAGTTAAACGTGAACAAATACTTCAATTTTTGATGAATATAACTGGATCTTTTGTGTAGAGCTAGGAGCTGCTTAAACAATTCTGAGACTCAATTTTTTTATTCTATATCATGACTTAATTGATCTCCTTATTAAACAAAAAGTCTTGCAAATTTGCAAAAGAATTGCCTTACCTCTTCCCCTGCTTTTGAAGTTGAGGGAGAAATAAATGATTTTATTTTAGAAGCCAAGAACCTTATTTGCTTTTTTGGAGGAGAGAAAGAATGTAAGTATATAAAACGTGGTTAATTCTGATAAGAGAGTTAACCTGTTACTGTTAAACATGAGAGAATCAAAACAATATTGTAAATTATTTTCTATAACCATCTGCCTCTGTTCCTTAAATGTCTAGTCATAGTGCAAGGTTATGAATTATTTTCTGTATCTTTCTGTATTAGAAATATTTAGGTGGGGGCGGGCAGGGGGCCATAGGGTTTTGTTAGTGAGTGGATCAGGCATCATTTTGGTCAAAATTCTTGAAAAATCCCGTTTTTACATGCACATCCATACTGTGCCACTTCTTCATGAACCACAAAAAATATTTCTCATCCTTTACCTTCTTTGTGTCTTCTGCCCCAGGAATTTTGATGATTTTGTTTAGGTCTTTTGTAGGTTCTGGTTCCAGAAACATTAACAGGTTTTGGTCCTTTTTAATACAGGATATTTCTGAGCAATGGCATTCCGTTTTCCAAGCAGTTCCATTTTCTTTCTCAGTTACTAAGTCCTGATTTATTTTCTTAAGCACACTTAGCTCTTTTATCATACTGTCTAATTTGATTCTCAATTGTCTTGCTTCCTCTCGTGCTTTATTTCTTTCTCCTCTAACTTTGCTCCATTTCTCCCTCCAGTTGGCGGTGCAATCTGACCACCAGCGCATGGTCTTCTCCATTTGGGCAGCTCTGGCTTTGACTTCCTCCAGTTCCTGAATTTTTACTGCTTCAAAAATTTCCCAATCACTGCTGTAACTTGCATGCATATGTGCATAATGAAGTGAATTTGGATAGAAACTTTGAGATGGAATATTTGAATGACAGAGATGGTCACCTGGTTGCCAACATCTATCTAATTTATCAGGTTCTGTTGGTTGGGTCCCAAAAACCTCTATCTCTTCCATTTGTTTCTGAGTGGAGTCTAAATTCATGTTTTGATTCATCACTTAATTTCACTCCTAAAAAAGACAAAGACAGACAATAATTCATCTTTTAATTTATTATATCATATGAATAACCTTCAACAGTTGGGGTTTTTACTGCTGTAATAGTGAGTTAATAATGCTGCTTACATTTTAGAAAAGTGCTTTATCAACAAGAAATAGCTATTATATATAATATAATATAATATAATATAATATAATATAATATAATATCTATTCAAATATCTTTTATTTAATACTTTTTGGGTACAGCATAAACAGACACACTTATTACTTGGCAAGGATTTGCTTGCATAGAGTCATTAAATTATCATAGCAGTCTCAAAAATGTTTGAGTCTAAAGAAAACAGGACAAAAGCATTCTTCCTTCAAGATAAAATTGAACTGAATCAATATATATTTTAAATATTTAGTCAGAGAATGATATTTTTCTAGGACTACAATCACAAATCACTTGACTTCTTTCCCAGACTTTGGAATTTTATATTAAGCAACACTTACCTTATAATTTGCATACATAAAAAAAAAAAAAAAAATATCAAAACCCCTGTGACATTTGGATTTCCTCTTTTTCCAAGAGAAAAATCAAGCATTTTTTATAGGGGGCTTTATTTTCTGCATTCCAGAAGATTTCCAGGTAGTATATTTTTATATTATTCTTGAAAGTGTAGCACTATCTTCCTGCACTGTACAGCCTACCTCATAGTGGTATGACTCATCTAGTAAATCTTGTTGCATTCTTTTTCATTATTTATCTTTTGATTATTTATTACTTATTTGGCCCAGAAGAAAAACGGTTTCTCAGAAATTGCTTCCCTACCCCAGTGCTGAGAAAATGCTGATGTGGACAGTCTGCAGAGACTAGCCACTTACATCTCCTTTTTTTTTTTTTCCTCTTGGTTATGTTAAAAACAAATCAGAGCAACCAAGCAACCGAAATTCAACAAATAAACAAACTTAAAAATCTTGCAACTTCAATAAAAGACTAAGTTGTTTCAAGTAAAAAAGAAATTGCTTTTATATTGTGATGTCCATTTGTAAAAAAACATGTTTATATGTTACAGCAATTAGTGGTAACACCTGCATTTGAAATGCAGAAGGCCAATGCTGCTAACAAAACACTGAAGAGTAGATAGATTTGGCAGTATGATTCAGTTATAGCTCATTTCAACTGAATAGAAGTTTTTGCAGTTTTTGCTCTGGTTTGCCAGCTGTTTTTTAACTTTTCCATGATTTTCAGGACATTTATTTGCCATTTGTTATAAGCTTATGCAGAACTCTTGTAGTGGAGGACGGATATGAGAGGAGGAAAAGGACAATGAAGGACTCCCAGTTCCCCTCATTATCACTGCCTGGTGTAGTACCATCAAGCCCCACAACAACACTACACAGATGTAGCAGAGCTGCTGCCAAAGCTTCATCAAAGCTGAGTCTTTCTTGTTTCTTGACCTACTTCCAGATCATTTAATTTGAACAAGCCTTATGCAAAATACAAAGATATTGCAACCCATAATCTTGTATGAGGCCAAATAGAGTCAAAGTAACTAAATATTAAACTCTTGCAGTCAGTTGTTAATTTAACTTCTAGGTTGTGGTAATTCCTTTATTTCCTAAAGCTTTAATTAAAAACCAACCAAACAAAACCACAGTAAATTTTAGGTACATAATAATATATATAAAACATTTTACATAATGCAATAAATATATAATGAAATCATTGAAATTTTTGGATTTTTAAGAAGTACCTTTCTTGCATTAATTTTTTCTTACTTTTTTTGCATCTGTCTCAAATTAGTAGATACCTACAGAAATGTTTATTACACTTTTCATAATCAGTATTTTTTTCAGTGGATTTTGCTAGTTTCCTTATTCATATTCACTTAAAGAAGGGAGAACTTGGAGAAGGGAGAACTTGGAGAAGGGAGAACATAATTTACAAATCTTAAAAGATACAGAAATAAGAATGGTAATATTTTTCTTTGACAGAAAATTTGGAAGACTTGAGAGTTATTAATGAATCAGAGTAGCCTACTACTGATATTTTGTTACAAGTTTGAGGTGACTTTGTCTTTTGACATTCAGTAATGTTTCCAAAGCTGGAGAAATGTTATGATCACAGATCACAGGATGCTAAAAAGGAAACATTGGTCATGAATTCTTGCTCTCCTCCACTGTGATGGCTCAAGGGTTCTTGAGGCTGGGACACTGCCAGTCAGATCAAACTTACAGCTGTAATAATTGAAGTGGGCTTGTACAGTAAGCTGGTGGTTTCTTATGTTTCTAATCATTTTATGGTAGGCTGAACTTTGCCTGCACTTTTCAGCATGGATAGATGATCCCAGCTCTGTACTTAAAATTCAAAAAAATTAAGAATAAAAAGAATTAAGAATTAAAAGAAGTCATTCCTCCTTCAGAAAAACAGAAATGCTGTCTCACTCTTAGGTGGTAAAGAAAAGGAGGTGTTTCTATTTGTATTGATTTCCATATGTCCTTTTCAGAAAATTTAATCTGAACAGTTTTTTTAGATACCCCTTTATGATTGCAAGAGGTAGAATAAAATATCATTTTTTCATTAAAAAAGACAGATCTCAACACAACCCATTTCAGTGGCTGGATGACTCAGGACAGAAACAAAAATAATAGAAATATTTACTGGAAAGTAAAGCAGGTAACAGGATTTTTATTAAAAGTATGAATTATGAATATTTGTACTGGTTCCTATTTTTAAAGAAGTGGTCTAAGATATTGGTTTGAAAGAAAGCAAAGATTTAAAAATTAGAAAAATTTGTTGATTATTTTAAAAGTTCTGAAACTGTCAAAAATCTCACAGTTCCAGAGGGATGATTAGGATGGACTTATTCTATCTTCTATATCATATCAATCTACTCTTCCATGTTCACAAAATACTGCACTGATGAAATTATAATGAAAACAAGTCCAAGAGTCCAACTGAAGATTGTTGTAGTATTGAATCTGTTGATACTGACTCTTTAATCATCTCTATAGTTACAGCGGTATTTAAAAAAATAATAGTTCTCTTTTCTGGTATATGACCACATCATAGAAAACATCCTATATCTACATTGAACTCTGAAAACTCTCATCTATAAAATATCTATGCATCATATATGTTCCAGAGGCAACAAGAATGATTTTTAACTTGTATGTTAAAGATAATTCAAAGAAGAAAGGTCCATATTAATATTCTTAGACACAGATCTCTTAACATCAGAAATATCACAAGTCTAAAATCGACAAAAAAATTACTGTGTGGAGCTAGTTTTAAAGGACTTGAGTTTGCAACAACAGACTGGCTAGCGCAGCATATGGAGCTCAGTGTACATAATTACTTCATGAAAGATAATTGGATGGAAGGATAAAATAAACTTAGGGAATTGGATGTAAATGGGGGTTTTCTGATCAGTGAAGCCTTCTGATAGCTCCACTTCTAACAGCTGAGTGATAAGAAGGAACACGACATCCTTTTTAAAGTTGTTTTTCTTAATGGAATAATTTCAAATAAGTATGAACAAAATATATGAAGTAACATTCATTGTGACGTGTGAGTGAGGTGTGATGATAGAGTGAGAACAGAGTGATGATAGCTCTCAGAGGAAAAAAAAGACACATGGTGAACACGGCAAAGAACATAGGTCTCAAACATATTTAATTATATTGCAACCTTTCCTATTTACTTAATGATCCTGAACATCAGTAAGAAAGAGAAGAGCTCTTCATTTATTTTTGCCACCAATTGTTTTAGGTAAACAGTATATTTACCCTTGGTGGCATCATTAACAAAATCACCAGGAGAGAAAAGAATTATTGCACTTTCCTCACGTTAATATCTGCTCACTGGACTCAGCTTTTTCAGTCAGTTCAGTAGTTAGAGAAATGTTTGAAGATACAATTTCAACATCCTTTTTCTGTATGATTTAATCCTTAGTTATACATATCTTAATTATTAACACCTCAGCCAAACATTTTTAAGGTATTTTTTTAAGGTATTCTGTCTTTAGAGAAAATGTCTGCTTTAGATTAAACCAATTAATATTCTTTTGTCTAATCTATGAATTTAATAGGACAAAATGTATCATAGAACTGAATATGTTGTAATATATATGTTGTAATGTATTGTAAATGCCACTGAGAAGTCAGAAGTTTCCATGTTATTGCTGCAGTTCACTCATCAACAAACCCTGACAAATAGAGAAGGCTGTCAGAAAATGGGCAGGGGTGACTCGGTCATTATGGGAAGAATATAGGAAGTGATTTAACACACTCCCTGAAAACATGGCTGTTTACTAAGGGCTGCTAACTACCAAGCTCTCAACTCAAGAAAAGGAGATCAAATTTTGCGTGTCTGTTCCTGTTGTAAAGTTGGTTTTAATTAGTAACACTTAGGGGTCCCACCCAGTGGCTAGATGAAAAAATACTGCCAAGTAAATGATTGATATATATAGTGAAAAAAACATCATACTGGAAAAGTGATTCATTATATAGCTCAGTCTAAAATAATACCCATACAAAATTGTATCTGGTTACCAAAACCCTAAAAACCTTAGCAACATGCAGCCAGGAGGCTGATCATTTGGTTAGAAAAAATACAGCACAAAACTCTGAGGCAGAACAAATACCTGGTTACAAGAGTGGCATAGACACACAGGGTCGTAGGATTTATTTCAACAGCTAATAAAACAGGATGTTAAAAAAGAGGAGTGACAAAAGTTCTGGTGAAACGAATTGTGTATTTGTGCCACTTCTTTTAAACAGTGATACAGAACATCACCAACATTCTACCAGCTTCATAGAAGGTAAGGTAATCTGGGAAACATCTCATGTGTATTACAACACCTGAATGGTGGAAAGAAATCCTTACAGGAGCAGAAATAGTGATGTCCAGAATATATTCCCTGCCTAACCTATCACTGGTCTCATAACTGCTTTAAGCCAGTGGTTTGCTTGCCACTTCTCCCTTATCCAAAGAAATATAATCTTAGCATCAATAACATTTT